CAGCCCAGGCAGTCCTCATTTCTGATCATGCGGAGACTTAATAGACCAGTCTTAAAACAAGAAGGCCGGTAAACAGCTTTCCAAACACTTTGCTTCTTGATTTTAAGTCATGCTTTTAAATTAACTTGTGAAACTTTCTACTTTTTCCACATGAAGAACACAGCAGAGAACTTCAAGGTACAACGTAATGTTTGCTGTAAGGGAAAAAGAACCTTGAGTAGGGAAAAAACCCTACAACCTTAGGATACAAAATGATCAGAGGAACAGGAAGAAGCATTTTCAGCTAGCAAAACACAGGCTAGAATATGAAAATTTTCAAATGTAACAGAAGAAAGTTAACAGTATTCATAAAAACTATGTTCTTTGTAGACTGCTACTAAATCCAAGGGCACAAATTTCTCTTATTACAGAACAGACTTAATTCCAAAAAATGTAATACATTACTGAAAAACTGTTTATCACTAAAGTACTTTTAAAACTCTGTCAAAAGTCATGATAAAATTATAAAAATTAAATGCAAATAAAAATGTCAATGACTTTTACTTCACCACTCATTTAGATGGATTAGAAGGCTTCTCCTCACACAAGCAACATGATATTATTGTATCACCTTTTGACTAATCCTCTGTCAGGTTATCTAAAATTATCAACTCTTTGTTTTGCAACTTTGCTTCTTATCCTTTCATCCGCTAATCAGCTTTTCAGCCTCCCATCTTCTGCCTGATAGCATCAAAATATATTGATTACCAGTTTATATTTTACATTTATTCTGACCAGTGTACTGGAGCACACAGCATGACTGCTGCCTTATCGTACCTCCCATTTCTCCTAAGAGGCAGTATTTTTCTCCAGACTTAAAAGCTTAACTGGGCAAGAACTGCTTTCAGATCCATTTTACTCTTTTAATACATATTTTAAAAATCTTAAACAATGCACGTCTCAAACAGAACATCAACTTGCTTCCCACATTTTTTCACAAAGGAACTATTGTGTTTTTTCTAATACACAGACATTAAATCAGGAAATACATGCATGATATCCAATTTCAGAACTACTAAACCTGGCAAGGCCCAGAAATGCAATCTGTACTGACTAGCTGAAACTGGAAAAGGTCATCTCCATAGCTCACTACATAGTAAACACGGAGAACATCCAAACTCCAACCACAACCCGTACACCAATGAAAACTCAAAAACCTCAGAACATTTCCCTACAACATGATGCAAACCATAATAAGTGCAAAAACACCCTCTCCTTCTTACCACTATAAGAAGGCAAAGGGAAAAAATAAATTTAACGTACTCACTGCCTACTGCTTCTAAAGGAGAAAAAAAATACACCAACGCCTCACAGGAAAGCATGTTTACATCCCAGAAGAAATAAAGAATAATGAGTAGAAGTGCAATACAAAGAAAGGATGAACAGTAGAGAAATGTAAGGAAGTATAAGAGTTCTACTACCTGCTGAAAGGGACACGGAATAGCAATCAGAGTATTCTGATTACCATTACCCCTGTCACCTCGCAAGCAGAAATACCAACAGGCTACTACTTGTCTGACAGTGACAGCTGGCTCAAGTACCAAAAAGTGACCCTATTTTTATTAGCAGATAGTAGGAGAAAGTTTAGCTTGGATTCACAAGAAATTAAAACTAATTCTTCAGTCCATATTCTACACACTGTTTACTGAAAGAACAAGTGACCTTAGCATACACATTTTATCTAAAAAATGGAGAAAGACCGTAAATGTTGAGCTAAGGAAGACTGTCAGCAAGAATAAGTGTCTTATTCTACCACACCTGGCCAATTAGAAATATATGTTACTAACTGTTTGCTCAACATCTCCACACTAAGTTCTTGCTATTAGAACCGAAGAATGACATCACCTTGCTATTGTTTCCCTAAGAAAGGGTAACATTTCACAAGCAAAATTATGAAAATGCAAGAAACAGATCATTGAAAGCAACTGCAAGGCAAACACATTTTATAAGCACTGAGGTGATAGAGAACTTTTAACTTTAAAGAAAGCCACTGGTATATATGTACTAGTATCAGGTACTTCCCTACCTTATTTATGTGCTAAACATGCTTAATTTATCCTGTGAAGACAAACAATGCCAGTTCTTCACAAAAGACACATCTACTGATACAGAAATTACACACAGAAAAAGGCTGCGTGAAAAGTAAAACCCAGCGATAAAGAATTGAATCGCTGTAAGCTGAGAGGTACGTCATAAGTAGAAGTATTGCAGAATTTGTAAATTTTTAGTATAGACAGAGTTTGTGAATCTAATAGCAGCACTAGAGAGCAATTACTGAGGAAAGCTATTGCCAAGAAGCTGGAAAATGACTGCTAATTGTTATTACTGCACAAAGCAGACAATATCTATGTATAAAAAGACATTCCAAGAAAATATATACAATAATGTGACTAGAAGAGACTTTGCATCCAAGCATTCTGCAGAAAATAGAGAATAACATAACCGAACCATTAAGCAGACTATTAATAAACCCATTCAAGTCAATAACTAAGCTCCTTAGACTTACTCTATGATCTCCAGTTCATACTGCTTAATTGTAAATCCAATCTTTTCTGCGAGCAGAAATACACCAGCTTTACTGGAGGGGAAAAAAAACCAGAAACCACTCAAATCCCCAAGAGAAGAAATCCCATATGAACATATTTTCAAATTTTTAGTTCTATACCAGCCCTTTAATTCTTTCCATCATTCTGGATGCAGCTATTCATCCCATCATTCTAGATGCCGCTATCTCTGTATGACTTTTATTTTGCATTACTTCTGCAAAAAAAATGAATTTCTCATTTTCTACTTCCTACAGAGGCAGACCTAATGTAAAATTCCCTCCTGAAGCTATCTACTCTTAAGTCACCCTCCAACATCAAGTTTTAATGATCAAATAGGCATCACCAAGCAAAGCCATGACACACATTTCACCTAGATGTTTTGCTGGACTATTCAGTCACTCAAACTCTGGTAGATTACGCTTTTTTTTTTTTTGATTCTCAGTTCCAAGATTTTTAGTTCCAAACATTTGAACTTATTATTTAAATGAAAGTGTAGATTTCTAGCTAAATTTGCACTATATAGAAACTGCAGTAATGCATCAATTCAAAAGCCTGTGTAATTAAAAAACACTGACTGGTTTATCAATTTTTTTCCAGGGCTTCTATATTACAGGATTAAAATTATTCCCTTTAAGCATCCCAATAACATAACCACGATCAAGTTCACAAGAGAAGTATGCACATCAGAATTTTACCAATTAGCACTGAAACTTCTGAGTTAATTCTCTACATATGAACAGTTTTACGTAAAAGAGTGTATTTACAAAACACTGACATGCAATATAGCTAACCAAGAAGAAAGTAAGAAGTTTAATGATCACCTCACCTACCCTCTAAAAATAAAGATGTGCCTGCGCCTTACTGACCCAGAACTTCACATCAGAAAAGCCAACACACACTTAATACCGCTCTGGGCTCCCTTCCCCCATCCCCAGCCTTAACCTTTTGCAGGGACATTTCTTCGCTGCAGAATTGTCCAGTTATACCTGCAACTCAGTTAAACTCAGGTGAAAACTCACCCTTACAAAATCCTCCCCTGAGGTACATCTACATGGCAGACCCTGCAATAACCGTGGTAGAAAAGCTGGACCTTATCTCTAAATTCGGGACCTTGGGTAATGCAGCAGATGAGAGCATACACGCAGCATCTCAACAGCACTCGTTCCAAGGAATCTGTACCATTAGAGAGACTCACCACAGGAGAGGAGGGAATTGCTGAGCAACTTCAGTGTGGGCAAACTAACTACAAAGCTGCTTGAACTTGCACACATATTTATTAATGCTACAAATCTAAGCTACTACCTCTACCACTCTTGTAGCAGATACTGCAATCCAATACACATGGATAGCGATATTATTGGAAAATACTTCGCAAACGTACCCTTGAAATCCGGAGCTATACCAACCCCAAAGACCTACTCACTATTTTACAGCAAGATTCACAGCTTCTGTAGAGGATGTAAATGCAACACCGAACCCTAACAAGTCATGATTAAAAAACAGTTATTATGAATTTTAAAAATCCCCAAAAGTTAACTTTATGAAGAGATATCTTAACGAATGTTCTTAAGGTTAGTGAAATGTTAGCATGGAAAAATGAAGTAGCGTTTACGGCAGTAAGCACGTCTGCTTTAGTTAGGAAAACACTTTTGTTGATACTCAGCCCTATGCTGTAGTAGATACTCCTACATGCACTCTCATAAAGCAGATCTGAGCCTGCAAGATATCATGCTGCAAGCAGCGATTATACACAGCCAGCGAAGCGTCTCCAGAAACAAACATTCCTTCATTTTGCTACAAACAGCTGGGGAAACTTTTTTTTTTCCGCCTGGGACACACCTCTGAGCACGGTCCCTCCTCCCACCCACCCACCGCATACACACATTTTAACCAGCATCACGTTCCACTCATCCAGCCAGCGCGGTTTGCAGTGCTACCAGCGCAACCTCGGCTCTGTCCCCGCGCTACAGCACTACTCGTTTTTTTTTCCCCAGCCACATCAGGGCTCCTCGGGGTCTCTCGCCGCGGTCTGCTTTGCCTGGCCTGGGTGGTCTGGGGCCCTGCGGGGAGACCCGGCGGGGGGCCGGGGGCGCAGCCGCGGCCGCACGTGAGGCAGGGCGGGGGCGGCGCTCGCCCGGCTGTGCCCCGGGACAGGCGCTCGCCGGGATCGGGCCGAAGCAGCGGCCGCGCCGCCACCGCCGCCGGGGCAGCGCCCTTGAGCCGCCGCCGCTCGGGGCCCCTCCCGCCGGCCCGGCCCCCCCGGCCCTCCCCCGCCCGGCGGCACCGCGGCCCGGCGCCAGAGGCCCCTCGGAGGCGGCGCGAGGGTCCGCAGGGCGGGAAGGGCTCTGAGGGAGCCCCGCGGCCGGAGCGCGGAGCGGGGATGAGGGGTAAGGGGGGGGGGCGTCCCGCACTCACCGCCGAGGCGCCGCCACGGTGCGCTGAGCCCCCTTCTTCTCGGTGCCGGGGGAGGCTCCGCCCGCCCGGGAAACACGAACCCCAGGAAGCAAAAGGCGAAGGAGCTGCGGAAAATGCCCCCTCCCCAACGGCACCGCCGAAAAAACGCCACCGGGGGAGAAAAAAAAAAAAAAAAAAAACACACCAAACTTTCCTCGCCGCCGTCTCTCCCTCCCCCGAGGAGCACGAACCCAAACACACCGGGACACGCCCCCGCACCGCCCCTCGCGCCGCCCATTGGACGGCGCTCCGCCGACCTCCGCGCTGATTGGTCGCTCCGCCTGCTCGTCTCGTCCCTCCGCTCCCCTTTTCGCCCCTACACGCTGCCCATTGGGAAGAGTCTCGGCGATCTCTCCGCCCATTAGCCACGGCCCACGTCAATCACATCGGAGCGCCCGCCCCTCAGCGCTTCCGATTGGACCGTCGCGTCACTACGCCCTCCCTGATTGGCTACATTTGCTGGCTGTCACCGGTTAACGTTGCCCCCTTCGCACCCCTCACGGACTCCCGCCCCTCCTTCTTCTGCCAGTTGGCTGCGAGATTTGCCCCTTAAATGGGGCACTCGCTCGCCCGCCTCTAGTTGCCCCGCCTTCCCGCGCTACGGATTGGGCGCGGGTCGCAAGCTCGGACACCACTGGAGAAGGGACGTGCCCGTTAGTCCATAACAGCGCGGAGACCCGCCCACCGAGCCGTGCTTCTCAGCGGCCGCTGGGGCCCTCGTCAGCCGAGGCGGGAGGCGAGGCTACGTCAGTGTGTGCTCTCATTTGCCGGCCCCAAGGGCGGGGCGCCGTTACGGGCTCACGCGATTAACGGGTGTGACCGCGGCCGTGGCCGCTCAGCGGTGCCTCGACACAGCACCGACGCCACAACCGCCCGCCCGCCCCAGCGACATTTGCACTTCGCCCCGCCCTCCCGGGGGCACGTGAGACAGCTATTGGGCAGGGGGGTGTCAGTCGGGCAGCTCCCGAAGCCCATTGGCTGGAAGCCCACGCCCCCGCAGCCAACTGGCGGCCGCCCCCCGATGTCACCCGCCGGATGACACAGCAACCGTAGGCTGGGGGGGCGGGGTGGAGGGGGGAAGGAGGAACGTGCCTTTGATTGTGTGGTTTCGCTGTCAATCTCTCTGGGATGGGCGGGGCGATGGTGGTGCCCGCCGCGCACCCCACGCGGCCCGGGCAGCTGCGCACGTGACGGGGGCCCGCGGTGAGGGGAACCCGCCAGAAGGGGCTTTGCGGCTGCCGCAGTGTCACGCGGAAATGTAATTGTTACAAATAAACTTCATTTACTTAGATTTTCATTAGCCACGGAGTATAAAGGGATAGAGCCTGAGAAACAGGCTATCTCTTTCTATCTGAAAGATATAAACAGGGCTGCGGGGACCGGCAATGGGAAGCTAAGGCAGGAGCTAGCCGGGAGACGCTTTCCTGGGAGGTGATGTGAAGCCGGGGATGAGCTGCAGCAAGTATTAACCCCGGGGCTGGAAGAGGCTGGAGATCACGTCTGTGGCAGCACTGCCGGATCTCAGGGAAGGAAAGAAAATGGAAGATGTATAAGCAGAACCTGCATGAGACAAAGGGTTTAGGATTAGCAGAGCAGAAGAGTGTGGCCAGGGGAGCAGCAAGTCTCCAAAACTGACAGAGAAATACTGAGGGGAACACATGGAATAACAGAAGCACGTAGAAGATAAACTAGGAGAGAGAGGTTATCCTTGATTGTATTAAATTTCTATGCTTGTTCTCATTTTCCTTATTCTCCAGTATTTTTGAAGACTGCTGTTACATTAATGAGTGTCACTTCCTGACCTCACCCAGGGCTGCATGCCAGTGCAATGTTTTCATTTGATCTCCTCCGGAGAATCCTGTTACAACCTGATCAGCAGAACAGTGCAGCAGCTGAAAATACCGTTTTGGTGGGGAAGAGAGAACCATAGACATATAGTGTGTCTGTCACATTAGCGAACAGGTCTGTGGGTGTTCAGTGAAAACGTGCTCTGTCCTGGAGGAGCCACAGAGCCCTTCACAGGTTAGTCCTCACCAGGAGGGACAGCTGCCAGCACAGCAAAGCGATGTGTGCTGCTGGCACAGACAGCAGACAAGATCCATGTGAACTCGGGCTACACAAGTCAGTGAAGAGCAATGAATCTTTTGATGGCTTCTCCATTCAGTAATGGTAATAGATTTTTACATTGATTGCTGGGGGAAAGAGCGCCATTAATATGAATAAGACTTTATATTGGGTATGTACATACTTGTTACTGTAGTGCTTTAAGAAATACAAAAGGCACTGTATAAATCAATATCAATTAGTAGTATAAATTTCAAAAGCACTTTGCCTCTCTTCCTCATAGTTTATTCAATGAATACAAACTGACTGTATCCTGTCTGTATCCAGATGTATTTTTATTGGTGTTAGCAGAAATCACTAATACACTGAGAGTACAGGTTGCATGCTTTGGGAGAGAAAGATGTGTCCAAGATGCTGACCTTGTCCTTGCTATAAGTAAAAAAATAATAAAATCATTTCCCTGTTTGAATTCCCTTTCCCCTTATTGGTGTTCTTTTGCAAGTTTTCCTTCCTATGTTTTGCTCAGGATTTTGGTGCACTTGTAGCAGGACATCGAAAGCAAGGTGAAGCAATATGATTTATTTTGCATAAGCCTAGTGAACCAAATATTTTCATTTCAGGGGAGCAAAGATACCACACTCCATTGTCCCTGTATTTTCACACTACAAAACAAATTGAACTGTAGAAAGCAAGCAGATTTTGTTGGTTTGACTGAAACAATAATGGATGACTCAGGAGCTCTCACTCAGGTTTACTTGTGTATTTGGGAGGAATCACAGCTCCCAGACTAATTTCTGGTTCTTGTAAAGTTAAAATGCTTATGAACATAGTAGTTCTTCCTATTTTTTTCATATCTCCTTCACTGCAACTTCTGTCCAATTTCACCAAGTTGGATAGTGAAATTTTTTCATCCACTGGATGTCAGTATTACACTACCGCTGTGGTGCCTTTTCAGGTGCTGGGAAAGGTTGGATTTCTTTGGGATGTGGACATTTCAAAGATCTCTCCTCTGTGGTGGCAAGTGCTGTGAAAGACCATTGCAGCTTGGGGGAACAGGCTCCCTGCAATATGAATGTGCCCTTTGGCTCCTGAAGATGCAGGCTGGGACCCTGCATCTTAAGTATCAAATCTCACAGAGACTGTAGCCAGAGAGACAGACAGACAGACTTCACTGTTGGGGTCAATTTCTTTTGACTGTTCCAACCTCACCTCCTTATGTTGTGAAAATACACGACCTCTTCTTTTTTATAATTAAGTTTACTTGTTATATCAGTGAGACAAATAATACTGCATCTGACAGGGATAAAATCCAGAAGAAGGCTGCATAAAGAGACTTCTATAAACAAACGAGGAGTGCTGCCAGCTTGGGACAATTCTGAATGCAGGAAGGAGAGGGGACAGAACTTTAGAGGCAGCTTTGATATTTGGAGTTGAAAGTCAGAGTTTTTGAGATCTGACACTGGTTTATCATTTCCAAAAGTGCCATGACATTTTTTATAGGCTTGGTAGGTTTTTAAATCAATATATCTGAATGAACTCTGTATACCCAGTCACTAGAAACTAATGATATTTTTTAAAAAAGTCTTTGCTAACCCTGCCTTTTTTCTGCTTCAGACACCCTGAGCAGCAGTTATCTATTGAACACAGAAAGAAACCAGTTACTTACCTGGGTTGCAACTAAGAGATGGGTTAGTTTTTGGAAAGTCACAGTAAAGCTGTGCTCTTTATGGTGCCTTATGTTTAAATATTTTGATACGAAATGTGACATTTAACATAGGATATAATGCTGTACTTTATCTGTGACTAAAATGCAGGCGGCACTTGAAGATTGCTGTTGTTTAAAAGATGGCTCATAAAAAAGTAATAAAAGAATTGATGTTCTCTTGTTATCTATAAACATGGGCTGATTAGATTATTCTCTTACATACATCTTTCCCCTGAAAGCTGCTTTTTAATCTATCCTTTTCCTAGAAGACTTCAGGGAATTTTCAGCAGGCATATGGCATCAATGTACCAGGAGAATATAACAAATATTTGCAGAGATTTTGATCTGTATAAAATATCAATTATCCTTATTTAAAAGTATTTATCTTAATAATGACTTTCAGCAGAGACAGCTGTTAGGAATTCAGCATTTCCTATTTCCTTCAGTTGAGTGGAAAGAAGTTTTCTCAGCCATTTTCCTGTATCCCTCACAGAACTTTTCATGGAACAAGCAAAGAGAGGAAATAATACTTCATATGCCTGGGAACTGTAAAAATGAGGATAGGAAAAAGGAATTTGTATTTAAAGCAGAGAAGAGCAGATTTCAACACAATGATTTTTTTTCCTTTCTAAGCCACCTGTAACAGCAAGGAACAAACACAAAAGAGCCTTTTAAGGAAAAAAAAAAGTAATGAATACTAGAATTAAATTAAATAGCAGGAGGAAATTAGGGAAATATCAGATGTAATTTTCAAATTTGTATGTTGGTCACGTGATTTGTGCTAATATTCTTGCTTTACAAAGAAAAAAAAAAGTAAAAATATCTTTAATGACTGTTAGTGTTCAGAACCTGAGCTTTAAGTTCCAGTCAGACATCTCCACATCTATAACTGTTCTTAAAATAATAGGCTTATTTTGACATTACCTATTTTTATGTGTCATACCCAGGAAAGACATGCAGTTGCAATAGAAACACAAGCAGTTTATACATGTCTTGGGCAAAGTGCTTAGCAGAAGTTTCAATTTGTTGTGCTGTCATGCTCAATAATGTTGGAAGGAAAAGGGGGAAAGAGAAGGTTGTCAGCCCTCAGCCAAAGGGAAAAAATTACGAATATGATGGCAGTGTTTTTAAATGGAGAATAATTTATAATGCTGTTTTGTTTTGTTTTTCCTGGAGGCAAAATTAAAACAATGCTTCATTAACATTATTTGAAGCTATTTTAAATATAGCCATTTTCAGCAAAACAATGTTAACATGTGGGGTTTTTTTTTAAATGAAAAAAAAAGACAATTAGGAAAACGTTTTGAATAATATTGTATTCTTTTACCCAAAGTCTTTTTTTTAAATTTTTTTTTCACTATGTTTAGTCCCAAAAGTGAAGCAGTGTGCATATAGGAGTTATTGGCTAGCAGTTATACTGAGGCTAGAGGTCATGAGGCTCTTCAGACACAATTTTAACTTTAAACATACCCATTCCACCAACT